GGAACATAGCTCCCCCTCTCTCGCCCGGCAGGGCGCGCCTCCGGGAGAGATGTGTTCTTGTTTCTTCTTCCTCGCCCAGCCGGGCGCGCCTCAGGGCGAGGGCACTCCCGGTCGGGTGAGCTCCCGGGCAAGTTGGACTTCTTCGATTGGGCTAATTCATGGTCCAATTCGAACTTTTCCTCCTTGGGTCTTTATAACTCGGTCCATTGCCTCGGTTTCTTTTTCTTCGTCGAGCCCTTAATCACCGGTTTGATTACTCTAACGCGGTCTTGGGCTACAGAGTATGGTCATATGAATGCGATCCTAATCCAATGCTCGTAATGGCTCAAATAAGTATGGGAAATGCTCCAAATCTACAATTTCCTGTAAAATAATACCAAAACTACGAAAACACTAGAAAACCCATATTAGTAATAAAAATAGCTCCGTAGAGCCTTAATACTCCTAAATATGACCAAGGGACGGGGGTAAATCACTATATAAAATGGACATATCAGTCTTGTTTCGGGGTTTTTTTATGTGTCCTGCAGGAGAGTTACAGCACTGAGACTGACCTCCGGCTGCTTGTACCTGCAAAACAACGGAGACTCCCAAAGGTGGGAGTTCCGCCTCCGACGATCAAGTTAGAACGTGTATGAGGAGTATATTGCGGAATGTAAATACTTCTATCTGATTTAGAGAGAATTCTGCAATGAATATTGCTCGGTTTTTGTGTGGATTGAATGTGTATTCAATACTTCCTTTATAAATGAGGATGACTCCTCTATTTATAGGGAAGGGGATCAGTTCCCCTTCTAGGATTTTGGTGACACGTGTCAGTAGAGGATGACTCCTCTATTTTGTGTGGATTGCGATTGCTCTATAACTGTCAAAGGTTCTCTTTGAGTTTTGATCTGATGAAAAGCTGCTATTAGTGGGTAGATACTGGGGAAAACACTAACCAGCTTTATCATTTTCCATGCTTACCTTTCGTTGCCATTGGTCATTACAATCTGAAGCTTTATTAAATTAATTTATAATCTGTTTTCTCGGAGAATGAAGATAATGATTATGTGCTTGCTTGTAAATCAGTTGGGGACGGTGGGTAAAAAACGCTTCGACAATTACAAGCTGAAGAAGATGAGGAGGAAAAGTTTCAGGCAGACTTGAAGAAAGCTGTACACAGTTCTTTTCATTTACCATTTGATAACTTACTTTAATGCTATTTTAAAATTGATTTGTTGACTTTTTTTTTGCTGGTTTTGTTTTATTTGCTCACAGGAATAATGAATTAAAGTGCGATGAATGCAGCAATGGAGGCGGCATTGATGAGAAGAAGAAGAGTTGTAGTTGAGAAGGATGGCAATCCAGCCGAAAGCTATGATGATTTTTTGGCTGCCTTACCGGAAAATGGCTATTGATATGGGGTCTTTGGTTATGATTTTGTGACATTTGACCATTACTAATCTAATGTGATTGTGTTCTATGATGTATCAAAAAACTTATGAGAAATAATTAGGGTTGTTTTAACCATTGTTGTTTTAATCTTTGGATAATCTAATGTGATTGTGTTCTATGTATCCCTCAGTTATTAATTATCCCTCAATTTACGTGTTCGAAAATCATTTTGATTACATGTCAAATAAGTTTCACTAAAGATTTTGGGAATCATATTGCCTGTCAAGAGTTTACTTTTTAGTCAAAATTGGCATAAAATTAACAAAAAACATTAATTTGCGTGTTAAGAAATACCTCATACCTTGAATTGTTCTATCCATTAAGAGTTAGAGGGAAGGTAAGGGTGATAAATATAAGTTCAAAATTGGCCGTATAAAACTAGGAAATTTTTTTAAAAATGAGAGAAATTGTAATTAAAAAAAGATAACACTTTAAGACCATATTTAAAGTTAAGTTGAGGAATATCGAACATTTGAGTGTTTAGAGAGATAGAGAGAGGGAGATGGTCATTCAATAATTGCCAAATTTATGTGCAAACTCAATATTGATATGATACATTGCATAGAAAGTCTAATTGATTAATAACACATTTAGAACAATAAATTCAACCTTAAGTCCTCAAAAAATAAATTCAATCTTAAGGTATAAGTGTGCTACATTCATAAGCAAATACTTCTTTTTGGTTTGAATATATAGCCATACTAGAGAGAGACCTATAAGTATGAAGCCATTAAAAAGAGGGAGATAGAAACCAAGAAAGAGAAAGAGTTTTGAGAAGTAAAGGAAGGAGGAAAAATACGTTTTAGAGTAAGGACATAACAACACTTATTTAGAAATTGTCTAAAATGCTGAAAATAAAAGACGACTGAAAGAAAAATAAAGTTGAACGGAAGCGGAAACAGAGTAAGCAAGAAAGGGGGAGAAGATTTCGACAATTAGATTTCAACAAACTCCTTTCATTAAAAAAAATGTTGTGATTAAACCTACATGAATCTGTGACAATTATGAGGAAGTCAACTCATTAGCAGCACCTTTTAGAATGAAAATTTCAACATTATGGTAGAATCGTGCTAGTTTAATATACAAGTGCTGTTTTTTTTTTATGTTTATACAACCATAGTAACGTAATAGATAACTTTAGAGAAAGAGAGGGTAGAAGAGAAGCATGGGGACATGGAGTGGATGAGAGAGAAAGAGAATGAGAAAGAGAGAGAGGGAGAAGGAGATAGAGAGAGTGAAAGAGAAGGAGTTAGAGAGAAAGAAAGAAAGAAAGAAAGCAAAAGGGGATGGGTGAAAGAAAGATGCGTCGAGGGAGGGAGGGAGAGAGAAGTAGAGAGAGAAAGAGGGGGAATGGGTGAAAGGGAGATGCGTCGAGAGTTGGAGAGTTCAGGAGAAAGAAAAGGGCCAAGAGAGAGAGAGGGGGCAGGCTAAGAGAGGATAGGGGCCGGGAAAGAGAAAGAGCATGAGAGAAAAAAACAGAAAGAGCATGAGATAGGAGCCAAGAGAAGAGAGAGAGAATGAAGAGTTAGAAGAGCATTGAAATAGAGAGAGAGAGAGAAGAAGAAGAAGAAGGGCCAGGAAGGAAAAAAAATAAAGACAGGGGTAAGAAAAGAGAAAAATATAGTGATAAAGAGAGAAAGTGATAGAGTGATAATGAACGAGAGGGGCCGAGAAAGAGATAGCTAAACCGATAAAGAGAGAAAGGGGGAGGTTGAAAGAATGAGGGGGATAAAGAGAAGTCAGGTGAGATAGAAAGGCTAGGGAAAGAGTAGGGCAGGGGAGAGGGAGCAAGTGCAATCTAATAATTTTCATAGTCTTTTAGAGGATGGAACAAGGACAAGAAAGATTAGGAAAGAAAGGGAGTGAGAGAAAGAGGTTAGGCCAATAAAGGACTATATGAGTGAGAGAGGAGCAAGTCGACCAATAACTTTCAAATCTATAGAAAACGAACAATTAAGACAAGGTAGGGGGAAAAGAAAAGGAAAAAGAGAGAAGAACGATTTAGGGCAATAAAGAAATGAAAAGGTGGGGCTTGTTCCTCTATCACTTGCTTCTTACCGCCTTTTCCAAATTATCCTTTTTTTTTCCACTCATTTCCATTTTACTCTATAGTTCAAAACTAATAAGATACTTTGTAGAAGATGAGTGTGTAGTTGTACTCTACTTAATACTTTTAGAGATACATTTTAATTACTAATGAGGTTAAAATTCAACTTACTCTACTTCTTAGAACCCTAGATTCTCTTTCGTAAAACAATACAATAACAAATTGTTTATGTTAATTAAAAACAACCTTGAAGATAATGATTAAGTGAATATAACTCATAGTTATCATAAACTTATAAATTAAATTGTAATAAACATGTATCAAAAGCGTTTTTATTGCTTAATTCATATACAATTGCAACGATTAATCCCCTAAACAGGGCAAAACAAAACTGTTTGAAAATCCGAAGATCCGATTCGCATCCGATCCAAAAATTATGGATTCTCGATCCAAAAAAATCGGATATCAGATATTCAAGATAATCACACACAATTAACATTAACAATACAACAACCTATTTTTACAAAACATTAAATTAAGCTCCCCTAATCATCATGTTAATAACACCGTAAATTACAAAACACAATCACAGCCACGAATCTTACATATCTTACCGTTGGGGGAAAAGTAGAAGTGAAAGTTATTTGGAGGTCTTTTTTTTTTTTAAATTAAAAAAAAAAAGATGGAAGTTATTTGAAGGATATTGCAAAAAAAAAAAAAAAGGAAAAAAGGAATTGCATGAGAATTGAGGATTGAGATTTTGGAGAAACTTCATTGATGACTCTTAAATTATATACTTCCTCTGCTCCACAAATATTGCAACAAGGATGAAATTACGCATCCCGAAACACATTTTATATGCTAAATATCTATAATTATATAAGAGTAAAAATTATAAAAAGTTGATATTGTGAAAGTATTTTACGAGACAAATCTAACAAGACCCCACATGACTATATTTTACTTTACGTATAAATCATAATATGTGATCAACACAAGCGTGATAAATAGTGTAAAAGTTCAATTGTTGCAATATTACTAGAACAGAGAAGGACTTCGTAAATGATATTTTCATATTAGTTTGAGTTAATGAGTTATAAGCCTTCCATACTAGTTAGTAGTTATATAACTTATATATGAGAGCTACATACTATTGTTAGGACTATACTCTTTTATGCTTTTCAACTTTTATTTTAGTTCACCTCAAAGAAAGACAAATTAATATGATCCTTTACCTTTAGATAACAATCCAATTAAAAAAAAATAAAAAAAAAAAATAAGTCAATTGTTGAGTTCAACTTGTGGTTCATAAATATTTTAGTCAATATCAAAACTTTAATTATTGGCTCCACACATTAAAACTCTACTCATATAATTCTTCTTGTTGAGTAGATGACCAAAATTACTAGAAAGAAAAGGAAAAATATAAGATATGGTTTGCTAATTGCCACAAATTAATGGTGTGTATGAACCTCACAAAGATGTCTTATCTCATCTTGTTACACTTCAATAAGACAAACTTTACTTTTTTTTCATGCTTTTTTATTTTTTATGTTCTTAGTTCATATTTCATACACTTGGTTCACGACTTTCAAGACTTTCAGACACATTTCAAACTTGAAAACCGCAACCCTTTTGTGCGACGGCGCCGCCGTGACAACCGCCGTCACTCTAGGCACTTGCAACCTCTCCTTTTTTCCACTAGTTCTTATTCATTCTTGGGTTCTTCCTCTGTTTAAAGGTTAAGGTATATATATATTTTTTTTTTTTAATTTTTTTTTTCTTATTTCAATAAATATAATATGATGTTAAGCATTACTTTAGTTGTTTGTGTCAATATTTTTGATGGGTTTTTGAATTTTGAAATACCCTTTTGTTTTTTATCTTCTGTTTGTATTTTGTTTGTTTTTAATTTTGTTTATATGCAAGTGGGTATATGTAGATATAGGTGAAATGTTGGTTGTATGTTATTGTGTTAATTCTAAATGTTATATTTGCTGAAATGATATGAATTAATTTTAGTAGGCAATTTTTTTTTTGTGGAAGGTGGTATTAGAGCAAATGAGCAATGTCATATACTTTTATACAACTTTAACTGTATGTGTATTGTATTAGTTTTGTATTTTGGAATGAGGATATTAAGGAGCTAATGTAACTGAGGGGGGTAAAATGTTCAATTGTATGTTCAACTACATTTGATTGTCTGGTGATGAGCTGAATTGTTATTTGTGACGGATTTAAGGAGGTTTAATAAAATTGCTATAAAATTAGCTTAGAAGATGAAGTTTGCCACATAATTTTGTTTGTAAAGATTTGTGTAGGGAAGTAGAGTCGTCTTCATCTATTTGATGCTATAAAATCTGCTTCATATATTTCTTATGTATACAGTTGGTATGTCATTAATCAATTTGAACAGTATTGGTACTCGTACGTTTCCATATTCCTAAATCTGCTACTGTCTGAATCTGCAATTACAACAAAGTTAATTCTGATAGCATATTGTTGCATTTTTTTGTTGCAGATTTGGCATTTGAGGCCCATTGTTTGCTTTACATATGGGTTAGCTTTTGGTTATGGGATTAAGGGAAGATGTATGATGGGTTTTACTGTGACTGGCTCTTTGCTTTACCAGTTCATTGGAAGACTATTAGTTTCCTTCCAATTATATCTACATGATTCCTGCAAAAAAATTATATCTACATGATAGTCAGGTTAGGCCTGTTGGTTGGTGCTTCCATCGCAGCCTACACTGTTAGGCAGGTTAATGTCAGAGGTCCAAAGTCATCAAAGTCCTCAGTTAAACATAAAGGTATATGTTGATATAAGAATTTATTTGCTCAAGTTAATTTTGTATGTCTTTGTCAATCTTTGTCTTATGAGACGAAGCTAACTTTAAATTAAATTTCATTAGCTAATGATACAAACTGTATCCAACTTGAGGTGACTTTTACTGAAGTTTCTATCAGATCTGACTCGTGTCATTATTCATTTGCAAATTTTTAATACAGTAAATGATCAAGAGGCGCAAGAAAAGGAAAATCTTGACTACACAAATATCAGCAGCAATGAGAAGGTAATTTTGCAATCTCGATTAGATTCTTTACTATCAAGGTTGCTCTGGTGTATCAGTGTATGTATTAATGATGAATCATTGCTAGATGAATTACTGAGTTCTCAAATTTATTGTGCAGGAGCAAGAAGAGGAAAAAGAAGAGGTTAAACTAATAAGCGGGGAGATAAACCCTCCCATTGTTGATACATTTGACATTGGAGAGGATGAATTCGAAGAGCTTTTATCAGGGCAGATGGACTTTCCTGTACCAGATGCTGAGAAAGGTGCAAAGGCTGATCGTCAGCGAGTTTATGAAGAAGAGATGGCAAACAATGTAAGTGAACTAGAACGGTTGCGCACTCTTGTTCAGGAACTAGAGGAGAGAGAAGTACGACTAGAAGGGGAACTGCTGGAATATTATGGTTTAAAAGAGCAAGAGTCTGATATAATGGAGCTCCAACGGCAACTCAAGATCAAGACCGTCGAGATTGATATGCTGAAGGTTAACATTAACTCGCTGCAAGCAGAAAGGAAAAAACTTCAAGAAGAAGTTGAGCTAGGAGCTTCTGCTAGGAAGGATCTGGACTTAGCAAGGAAGAAAATTAAGGAGCTACAGAGGCAAATTCAGCTAGAAGCAAATCAGACGAAGGGCCAACTTTTGCTGCTTAAACAGCAAGTCAGTGGATTGCAGTCTAAGGAAGAAGAGGCCTACAAAAGGGATTCTGAAGTTGAAAAGAAATCTAAGGCTGTTAAACAATTGGAGGCCGATGTAGCAGAGCTTAAGAGAAAAACCATTGAGCTTCAGCATGAAAAGAGGGACTTGTTGATTAAATTAGATGCTGCCGTAGCCAAAGCAGCTGTACTTTCTGACATGACAGAGGTCAGGGGTTTGAAATCTTTTAAAATTTGCTCAGCACCCTAAAAAGAATGCTATTAATTTTCATTTAAACATATCATTATCTACTGTATCATTGTAGCTGATAATTTTACTTAGGTTACATTGAGACTTTTGGGATGATAGTTTTACTTAGGTTACATTGAGACTTTTTGTATACATAAAATTAGGCTCTGCCTTTTTATCGCTCTTTGATTGGCAAGAGAGCACTTGGTATCTTCCAGTAAAAATAAGTGTATTGTGCATGAGACTAACTGGGGTTTGTGACTTTGTGGTGGTGGAAGAACTATAGGGCAGAGAGTTATTGTTTCTTATTTTGTTTCGTGCTCATTTGTTGTGAATATGAACTGGATTTGGTCACTGGATATAGGTAACTTCAGTATACATAATGTTCTACAGTTAAGTTTACGTAAATGAAAAATGCAGTTCCCTGTGTTATTGCTATCAATAATCAAATTTTCTTGTACTTACACTGGTTCTGTGCTTCTGCAGACTGAAATGGTTGCAAAGGTTAGAGAGGAGGTCAATGACTTAAAGCATGCAAATGAAGATTTGCAAAAGCAGGTTGAAGGACTTCAGATGAACCGGTTCAGTGAAGTTGAAGAGTTGGTCTACCTACGTTGGGTGAATGCGTGCTTGAGACATGAACTTCGAAACTACCAGACACCAGCTGGAAAAATGTCTGCTCGTGAGCTTAGCAAGAACTTAAGCCCTAAATCTCAAGAGAAGGCCAAACAGCTCTTGTTAGAATATGCTGGCTCAGAACGTGGCCAAGGGGACACTGATCTTGAAAGCAACTTCTCTCAACCATCTTCTCCTGGAAGTGAAGATTTTGATAATGCTTCAATCGACAGTTCCACTAGTAAATACAGTAGTCTAAGTAGGAGACCAAGCATTATACAAAAGCTAAAGAGATGGGGTAAAAGCAAAGATGATTCAAGTGCACTTTCATCACCAGCTAGATCTTTCTCAGGAGGCTCACCTAGGAGCAGGGCTAGCATGAGTCAGAAGCATAGGGGGCCACTGGAATCCTTAATGCTAAGAAATGCAAGTGACAGTGTTGCAATAACCTCATTTGGGAAGGCAGAACAGGACATGGATGGATCTGAAACTCCAGATTTCCCCCGCATTAAAACCCGGGTTCCTTCCAATGATTCATTGAATTCTGTTGCAGCTTCATTTCAGTTGATGTCAAAATCAGTCGACGGAGGCATTGATGAAAAGTATCCTGTATACAAAGACAGGCATAAACTGGCATTGGAGAGAGAAAAACAGCTCAAGGAAAAAGCAGAGCTAGCAAGAGCTGAAAAGTTTGGTGACAAGTCAGGTTTGAAGCCTGAGTTTAAGGTGATGAACAAATCTGCAGCTTTGCCTCCAAAACTTACTCAGATAAAGGAAAAGGTACAGGTTCCTAGCAATACAGGTGATCAATCTGGTGATAGTAAAATGGCTGATTCTTCAGTGGTGAGCAAAATGAAACTTGCAGAGATTGAGAAAAGGCCTCCGAGGGTACCACGCCCCCCACCAAAATCATCTGGAAGCAATGCTTCAGGTGGAAATGTTAATGTTTCCAGTGGAGTACCATCAGGAGGCCCACCACCACCCCCACCGCCACCCCGTGCTCCTGGTGCTCCTCCGCCTCCCCCTCCACCTCCAGGAGGCTTAGCAAGAGGGACTGGAAATGATGACAAGGTTCACCGTGCTCCTGAAGTTGTTGAATTTTATCAGAGCCTGATGAAACGGGAGGCAAAGAGAGATACAACAAGTCTGATATCAACTACTTCTACTACAGCTGATGCAAGGAGCAATATGATTGGTGAAATTGCGAACAAATCCACCTTCCTCTTAGCAGTACGTCTTATTGTTTTTCTAATAGTTGGTCAATTCTTTGTTTTGTGTTTGGATGTAGTCATCATTGTTTCTTGACTGATAAAATTGTGTTTCATTTTGATGAACCAGGTGAAAGCTGATGTTGAAACTCAAGGTGATTTTGTTCAGTCATTAGCATCTGAAGTCCGAGCTGCTTCTTTTGTTGACATTGAAGATCTGGTTGCATTTGTGAATTGGCTAGATGAAGAACTTTCCTTCTTGGTATGTCCATGGTTAATTTCTTTTATTTTATACGCATGAACTTCTAGTTTCACTGTTTTACTACTAGCACAAGTTCTGTATGACTATGTATGTTCTAAATAAATAATGCATAGTATATTGCTGCTCCCACAGTGGCTGATTGGTCTTCCCTAGAAATGTACTGTGATTCAGAAAATAAGGCCAATGTTTATGTGATATCGAGGAAAAAAAAAAACTAATCTACAATACCTACTTTAAAGAGAGAGGAAAACCAACTCATCTATGGATAATGAGTTTCATGTAATCTCTTAGCATAATTCCTATCCAACCTAACTTGACTTAGTCCCTGTGTTCTGAAGTCATATAAGCTGTTCTGCACTTGACTATACAAGACGAAAGCATATTGCAATTTGTTTAATCACAACCAGTTAACCTTTTTAAATTTCTAAAATGCCTATAAATGTTTGTAATTCTTATTTTTACTTATGCTGGGTTTAGGTTGATGAGAGGGCGGTTCTCAAGCACTTTGATTGGCCTGAGGGTAAAGCAGATGCTTTAAGAGAGGCTGCATTTGAATACCAAGATCTGGCAAAGTTGGAGAAGCGTGTTTCATCGTATGAAGATGACCCCACCATTCCATGTGACAAAGCTCTCAAAAAAATGTACTCGTTACTTGAAAAGTAAGTATCAGCACTATAACCTTTTTCTGGTGAAATTGCAAATAAAGCAGAGCATAATGTTGCCGAGTTAATCTAAATATGTTCTGTAAATCCTATACAGTGATATGAATTTTGCACTTAGCTTTAGTAGCTTCCTTGGACCTCATTCATGAAATTTCTTCATCCAGGGTTGAACAAAGCGTGTATGCATTGTTGCGCACACGTGACATGGCTATTTCAAGATATAAGGAGTTCGGGATTCCTGTGAATTGGTTGATGGACTCAGGAATTGTTGGCAAGGTAACAATATCATGACTCGAAACAGAACTTTCACATCTGTTACTGTTAATATTATATTAAGAAAATTATTTGGTTGGTTTTCATATTTTTCAAGTTAATTTTGAAAAAATCTACATGATTGCGGATTTCTATTATTAAATATCGGTACCTGCATTCAGATCAAGCTATCATCAGTACAATTAGCAAAGAAGTACATGAAGCGTGTGGCAACAGAACTTGATACACTCAGCGGTCCGGAAAAGGAACCAAACAGAGAATTCATACTCTTACAAGGCATTCGGTTTGCTTTCCGTGTTCACCAGGTATGTTCCTGTTCTGCATTAACCTACTGATGTGTGATCCGATTATCATCGAGATAGTTCTAGCTGAAGGTCCCATTACAATAATACTCAAGAAATGGCTTTCAACCAATCTTACTTTGATTTTGCTTGCTGTAGTTTGCTGGAGGTTTTGATGCTGAAAGCATGAAAGCATTTGAAGATTTAAGAAATCGCGCTAACACACAAGCAAACGAAGATAGTAAGCTGGAAATCTGAGTGGTGCACTAATGTTACTCCTTGAACAGAATATTTATATACAGTTATCTTGTACATCTTACCATTATTTATAAACTTCAGGAATATATTAGCAATTTTATACAAGTTAAGTTTTTTGAGGTCAAAAGGAATAAATGTACTTGTGCAAGCAAGAGGTTCATAAGTTCATTCCTAATAATCTTGATCCTTGTCTTGCTCCTACTCCTGCTTCTGCTACCAATATGCTCTGGCGTGAATGAATTGAGACGAGGTGAACTGTCACTGGCTCTCAGCTGCTTTCAAAACCTAATGGAAACTTTATAGTGTGGATGTCAACCGTTGTACCAAAACAGTCCTCCTTTTAAATTCTCTTTTAGATTCTATTGGGATAGCTTTGACGAAACTCAGCTGCCATCTCAAACATGAAGCCAGCCTGATTGCACTGTGCTACCTGAATATCCTGGACTTATTTCAGGTTCGAGAAGCTTGAAGTCCTTGAACCAACTTACCTTTCTCTTCTCTTGTCTTTTGCTGGGAGGAAGTGCAGCTAAGTTTTAAACTCTAGTCACCAACAATGAAAACTATGAAATGAAAGATGTAAGAACATGATGTATTGAGGTTGAACATTGTTAGGCTTATTCTCGACTTGATTATCTTAGCTACTTGACTTCATGGCTTGCTTGATGAACATGACTAGAGCTCCACTCAAAAAAAGTTTTAGTGTTCTTATTTACGTGATTAACCAACTTTTTTGTAAAAAAATATATTTCTAGCAATTTAAGGATTTATTTTATGAGGCCGCCCTAGTTAATCTCCACTTGAAAAGATGCAAAGACATCGGGAATGACACTCTTTGTGTCAAGCTTAAAGTAGTGGAGATGGAGTTGTGCTCGAATATGCTTATAATTAATTGTTCAGATTATGAAAAATGTGTTAATTATGTGTATTATGAAAGTGTGTTAATTGTGTGTTTTATGGATTTTAATAATTGTTGTAGATGTCGTATGACTTATTATTAATTATATTTCTCTTCCTCTTAAAAAAAATAATAAAATAAAATAATCAATAGTTACAATTACTATAATAATTATGATTATAGTTAATAAATCAATAGTTACGATTAGGATTTTTCTACGTTATACTTCCCCCTTTAGTTCTTCCATTTTCACATTGTGCCCACACTTTTAGAACTGTCTAACATGTACCCATGTAGTTATATTTCATTATTACTAGGGTGGTTAACATGTGCGATGCGCGCGCCATAGGTAGCAACATTCAGGAAACTTTTTAGGTTTGGCCCTACATCACAAATTTAGTTACTAGTAGCATAAATGAGGGAGAATATGTAAACAAATATTGTTATGGATATAAATGTCCACACACTATTCTTGAGAGTTTTAAAAAAGTGCTAATTAACATTAATCACGACAATTAAGTAAATAAACGTTTTAGAGGGTATAATTGTCCAAACACTATTGATAAGAGCTATCTCATACTTTTTAAAAGGTATGGAAACGCATCAAAGGATTGTGCCATTAATGACAGTAGTTGTCGAACTATATAAGCATTAAATATTTCTTAAATGAAATAAGGGCTTAAGGCTATATATATAAGCATTAATTAAACTTTCTAAAATGAAATTAAGTTGAGAATTCATGCGCAAATCGGTGTAATTAATGTTAATCTATGTTCAATATTTTCTTTTTTAGTTTCTTATACATAACCCTAAGAGTTATGTTTATCATTTTCCTGGTGAATTTTTAGACATTCCTTTTTAATCGGTTTAGAACAAACAGATTTACAATTCAGGTGACCCCAGTATATATTTTTTTTTTTTTTTTAGGAAAGGTGACTCTAGTACATAGTAATGACTATTTAGTATGATATTTTTCAATAAAAATTCTCAAAACAAACAAATGGTTAGACCATTGAATTGAACAACCAACATATGAACATACTCATTTCTTTCCTTTTTAAACTTTTTTTTCTTTACCACAAATCGACAAAGGCAGATTAGCAAGTAATTTATTTTTTTTTTTAATTATTTTTTTTTAAAACAAGCAACTGAGATTATATTAAGTGAGGTCTAAATCCGCCAAAATTTGTAGACTTTGAGGGATAGGACCCAAACAAATAAATTCGTTACAACCTCTTAAATCCCATCTAGCAATAACAAATAAATTCGTTACAACCTCTTAAATCCCATCTAGCAATGAGATGTGCAAGAATATTTCCGGCTCTTTTAATACGAGAGATAGAAAAGGAATTAAAAGAACTAGACAAAGACATTATATCCTCAATTAGCAAACTAAAAGTATCAAAGCCCAACTCCATCTTCTGAACTCTTGAGACCACCTTCAATGCGTCACTTTCTATCACCACATTGTAGTAACCCAACCTGAGAGCCAAGTGAATCCCAAAGATACAGGCAGCCGCTTCAGCAAGTTCACAAGACCATCCTGCAGGCTCACGACGCACGGCAGCAGCACACAAATTGCCCAGCTCGTCTCTGATTACCACCCCTAACCCGTTCATGCTTCCCACATGAGCATCGCAGTTCACCTTCACAAAACCTGGACTCGGTTTTAACCACGAACTCACCAAAACCTGAACTCGCAGGTAATATTATTACTTAATTCACCCCTTAATTATCATTAGAAGAACAAATGAACAATGTAATTTATTTACGTGCGTTTCTCTCTCCACTTTCCCCCCTTTTGGCCAGGTTGTCTCTCAATTTCTTCATTTTCTCTTTCTTGCTCTTGTTCATTCAAAACCCAAGTCAATTAATTTCTGAAAAACACCTCTATTTATTTTTTGTTTTATTCCAAATTTAAAAAGGGGCAATTTTTTATAGATCTCCCACTTCAATTTGAGGTTCCACTTTGCTGAGGAAGAAGAGGGTTGAATCTGTTTTCAACCCATCTACTGATACAATGAACAATCTACTTTCGGTAATTTCAATTTAATCTCTTTTTGAGTTTTGACAATACCCTTTGGAATTTCAATGTGGGATGCAAAGTTATGTTATTTTTTGATCTGGGGTTTGTTAATTTTTGATGTTTTGATTTGATCATGCTGTTATATAGATTAATTGTTATTTGGGTCATTGGTTTAATTGATTGTATAATTATGCATTGTATGAATTCTTCTAATTTTTTTGTTGATTTTTTGTTTGATTTTTACGGCGTAGTGTTTGATTAAGCTTGTCATTTTTAAGGGGCTTTTGATTTGGTTCTTATTATTTTTGAATTTTTAGGTTTTAGTGTTTGCAGTTAGTGATTTAAGATTTAATCTTGGTTTAAGGAGATGTAAGATTTTGCAGACTTGATTGTTTCTTAAGCAGCAAATTTCTAATATTGTATCATTGTATGCGAATTCCCAAATATTAACTTTTTATTCAGGCTTCTATTTGGTATAATTCGCATCATGAACTTATATATCGTCATACACACGCTAGTCATAATAACTGTGAGTCTGTGAATATGCACTAGCCGAATTTACCGTGAATACTCACAACAGAAAATTGGTAGCTATACAGCTAGTAGCCACACTTCTAAAAGCTTGTAGAGCCCATAGTTGATGGATTTTTGATCAAGGTGTAAAAATGTAGTTTTGTGGTTCCTGAGGCAGTGTAATGTATTTAGGATGGTGTACTGTTCATCAGTATGCCTTTACTATTGTCCTCTAACAACAATCAAATAAACAATATTATTTGATTATGATTGTGGGTTGTTTATCTTGTTCAGTTTTGTCCTAGATTAGCCATAGAGGATATGTGAGCTTATGTATTGTTCTATCTGACACAGTTGGATTAACTTTTTTAGTCAGAGATTTATCAGGAATTTACTTTATGTCTTGTTTAATCTGACATAACTAGAATGGGATTTTGAAAGGCCTAATATTTCAGGTTTTTAAGATAGGCTACGTATTTTCCATCATTTATGGGGAACAAAAAATTCAAGCTGCACAACACTGTTTTGTCCTAGTATTTGCAAATATATCTAGTGTCATGCCGGATTGCCCATCCTGAAATTGGGTACTTACACATGAATATAATAGCATTTTTTTCTTTGAGAGAGTTAATAGACTTCTTCAATCAGATTTATGTCATTTGTCATATCACTTGTTTTTCACATTTTCCTTCTTGTAGCTCTAGACTTAGGTGCAATCTTATCCCCACTTGTTAGGGTTTCTTTTGAACTTAGTTAGAGGTCTTTAGTTATTATATCTTCTTGCTCATAGAGTCATAGTGATAATTCATTTTTCCTTCTCATAAGTGCTTTTATTGATCATAAATTAGCAATATTTTTATTTTAGCACACACTCATACAGTTTGCCTGCTAATCTATTGCTCTTTTGACACCGAAATTGTCTTAGACTCTAAGGTCTTACAAAGATTTTTTAAGTGGATACAGTTCATCTTTCCCATTTATGTTGATGTGTGTGTAAAGTTGTGCCTTTTGCCTTCTTTCCTATTTTTATTAACATGGTTGTAACCTGTAGGATTCATTTGAGATTCCACGCGGGGAATCATCACGAGGTGGTGATCTTGAGATGGGGGAAAATCTTCAGAATTCAGGAGAATTGGGTTTGCAAATTTTCTCTAAGAAGGTACATATTTCTGTTCCTTAAGACTTTTCAATTGCCTTATGTAAAACTTCCTTTGTGCGCTCATATTTATTTTTCTGTGGAGAAGATCAAAGATTTTCTGCCAATCAAGTAATACAACTTCATCTCAAGCTATAGATGGGAAATATTAAGTTACTCTTTTTCTTCATCACTTTAATAACTGAACTGCTTATCTTTTTTACAGGTTCAAGAGATAGACAAACAATATGAGAAACTCAATGAGCTTCTTAGAAAGCTCCAGGTAAGCATACAACTTCTTAGCTGTACTTTCAACACTGCTTGGCAAAATTTTAGTAGAATACGTTATTGTGCAAGGAACAGAAATCACTGGTGCCTTTCTTCTGATTGTTTTATAAATCTTGCATGCAGAGTGCTCATGAGGAGTCAAAAGCTGTAACAAAGGCTGCTGCTATGAAAGGTAAGCTCTAATTCCCTGTAATTGTATATGCATGCTCTTACCTTTTGGAGTCCGCTCAAGTCCTAGTGATTAGTTTTAATTAAGGAAGGAAACTAATTAGTTGCTACACACATATGCGACTTGAAATTAAGTTTCTGGTTAGATACTTTATTATCCTGGAATTCTCTTTCAGGGGGCGTTTGGTTCACAAAGTGGTATGGTTTTGGAATTAGGAATGAAATTAGGGTGGTATGGGGTTGGAACTTGATTCTTAATACAATGTGTTTGGTTGTTGTTCAGGAATGGGGTTTTTTTTTATTTTTATTTGATACCTAAAGGTGTGGTATGAGCCATACCCACCTCCCCCCTTGGGTTTCTAAACCCCATACCTTGTGGGTTTGAGGTATGAGTTTAAAAATTAGATTTTTCTTAAACAAACATTAGGTATGGGTTTTACTCATTCCAACTTCATACCTCATACCTAAAACTTACGAACCAAACGCCCAATCAGCTCTTGTATCCTCCTTTAATAGAGTTCAGAATTAATGCATGAGCCCTTCTCCAAAATGAAGATCTTTGAATTCCATGTTTAGATACTTAATTAATGCAGACATTTTATGGTAATATAAGTTTTTGGTACTTTAAACCCCTATAGGGAGGGGAAAATCCTTTCTTTGAGCTTTCTACATCAAGGCTTTTATGGTATGTGTTTGTATAATTTACAGCAAGGCTTGAAGTGTTTTTTTTACCCTTATTTATTCTATTTGTGTCAACTGTTTGTCCTCCTATCATTTATTTTCCTCTTCTTGAATTTTAATTTTCTTTCTTTTAAAAAGAAATAGAAAACCCATTATGTAGATTGCATTTTGAATGGGTAAGGACTTTCTGGATGGCATTTGTACTTTTACTTATGAATAAGGGCAATAAGGCTGTAATTTATCCTTCTGTTGTATGCTAGAAGTAGTTCATAATCATGCTTTTTAATTCTGCTTTCTGAAACTATTTGTACACAGAACCTGATTTTTTACAATCTTTTATCTGAAGCTATCAAGAAGCGCATGGAGAAAGATGTAGATGAAGTCCAAAAGATTGCCCGGCTTATTAAGTCAAAAATAGAAGAACTTGATAAAGATGTAAGATGCTTTAGTTTATTTGGTTGACTATGTGTCTTTGAATATCTGAGATGACCTTTCTTTCTCTTCCAGAATTTTTCAAGCCTGCAGAAGCCTGGATGTGGAAAAGGAACAGCTATAGAGCGCACCAGGTCAACACAGACAGTGTAAGTCTTGTGTCCAACGATGCTCATTTTTGTCGGGGGTTTAATGTATACATGATTTATGGTTTTGTGTGGCCTCTTTCCCACCCCCATACCTATTCTTTTCTCCTCAAATTTCCTTTGAACTCTATTGGTTTGCATAATTGCATGTTAGTGCATTTACTTAGTAGAAATTAGAGTAGCTGCATGGGAAACTTCTTATCCACCAAAACAAACCTCGAAGCTCATTCAAATGTCTTCTTGTGGACTATAAACTTCTGTGAAGCATGGGTTGTATGCCATTGGCTGAACCACGTAGAGTAATTACAGATTTCAATTATGGTTTGAACTTCCAGTATGCAGGGTTGTAATAGATATCAGATTGAGCCTTGGTTGACCCTTTGAAACAAAAATGTTTGAATGCCTGATCCTAAGAAGGATCTTCCTGTAGTATATATGTGCCTTAAGTGGTGCTAGGGTTCTGCTGAAAGAAATTAATCTGTGAATTAAAGCTTAGGAATTTGAATGATTTTAGAGATGCATAGAACTGTACTATCCTTTTGTAATTTTCTCTGACTACTTCTGTGTAAACTGATTCTTTGGTAGCAGTAAGTTCTGGTCATTATCATTTCCCATGAAATAGAATTTATAGTATTTAAATTTTAGCAAAATTTTCATTTTGAAATTCCAATGAAGTTTGTTGTGCTCAATTTTAATGATTGCTATCTTTTTTGCAGTGCATTAAAAAAGAAATTGAGAGATAAGATGGCAGAGTTTCAGGTAATGTCAAGTTTTCAGACAAGAGTCAATTTTTTATTTGTTGGTTTCTTACTTACTTTTATACTCTGCAGACATTGCGTGAAAATATTCATCAAGAGTACCGGGAAGTTGTTGAGCGTCGTGTTTATACAGGTTCACTTTTTGGCTTGCTGATAAGGAATTTGTTTATCTTTATGCTTGAAGCTTTGATGATGATTTGATGATATGTCTTTGGTTTTCTATGTTTCACAGTAACGGGTCAAAGAGCTGATGAAGAGGTGAATTGTTATTTTCTTGCGACAAAATATCTATGAACTGCTAAGCTGCAAGTTTTTTTTTTTTTTTTTTTTTTTTTTTTTTTTTTTTTTTTGGCTTAATTGTGCGATACTCATGTTTACTTGCAGACAATAGATCAATTAATTGAGACTGGTGATAGTGAACAAATCTTTCAGAAAGCAATACAAGAGCAAGGTCGTGGTCAGGTGTGTCTTTTATCCCTGTTTTATTTCTTTGGATGCAGCAGTTAGATTGCAGAATCACCCTCTTAAACTCTTAGCTCTGTAAGAAAAACTATTACAGCAAAATACCCTGTGCAGTGTTGCATAGCTTGTCATGCTGCCATTTGTCCAATACTTGTAATCAATCAATCAAAGCTTTAATCCCATAAGTGGGGTCGGCTACATGAACCAAAAGTGATTATTCCATATTGTCCAATACTTGTAAGGTTTTGAGAAATTTCAGGTTGCTGTCTGGGTATAGTTATGATGTACCATGCTGGTATTCTAAAATATTATTCTAAATTTCTAATACGCTCTTTTATAGGTGTTGTAAATGGCTTTTAAGCAAACGGTTGTAAACTACTAGAAGCTTTGGAAAGTTAATTTTTTTTTTTTTTGGGTCTTAAGTATTTTTTAGTCAATTTTTAACATTAATATCAGTTGGATAATTGTATATCTACTTATCCATGCCTGCAGATAATGGATACACTTGCAGAAATACAAGAGCGCCATGATGCTGTACGAGATGTAGAGAGAAAGCTGCTCGAGCTGCAACAGGTATATCCATTAGATCTTAGCATAATGTTGTTGGTGCTTGTTTGGTTCCCTTGGGAATTAAAGTCCTGTGAGAAGTGTAATTTGATGGGAAATTGCCTCCCATGTGAACTTTCTAGGAAATGGTACTCTTGTTTGCTTGACATTAGACAATGAAAGTAGAACTTCCCAAGGAAGTCCAACTTTTACCATTTCATGCCAACCAAATTCATGTCAAATATGCAATACCACCCGTCTTTTGGAAGCGCCTTGCAGCTTCCCCACATGCCCACAGATTGGGGTCACTTGATAATTGCATGATTGTCAGATTTTACTCCTTGTCTGCACCCAGTTAATCCACAATATATAGCTTGTAGGATTTTATTTCATATGAGTTTTGTGGGTAGGGTACCTGCACTATAAATTTCTGAACTTGAAAGGATGTTTTTGTGTGTGTTTGTGGGTGTTGGGGGGGGGGGGGGGAGGGGTATTTTTTGAAAGTTTGATGCGAGTGCTATTGGATTACCATACTTGCACCAAAGAACCTGTCCATCGCACAAAGTTATACCTGAGTATTCATTTTTTGAATTTCGCCAAACCAATCTATACTTGAGTTCACTGTTAATGTGATATGTAGTTGAATATTAAGGATCTCATCAGCTTCAAAGCTAAGGTGGTCATGAACCTCACTTTCCAACCAACCTTGCAAATCTTTGTCTAGCCCTCCACAGTTGAAGCATTTCAGCCTTTTTTTATGGTGAAATCACTTGAAAATTTGGCGCTCTCAAAGTCTCAATTTCCCCTTATCTCTCCAAACACTCAATTGCTAATCAACCATCTGCTCCCCTCATTATAAGCAGCTACTGTCTACCAATATGGCTTCATGCTCTTGAAATAAAAGGCTAAACCTTGATTAATATAATAGAACACCTCAAAATTTCTTCTACTTTTTTGGGAAATATATATTACAAATTTGATGCTGTATATCAGTAGACAATATGGCATCCCTATAATAAGCAGCGAGTAGTTCTTATGTTTTAATTTCCTGTATGCAGATTTTTATGGACATGGCTGTTCTGGTCAATGCCCAGGGAGATTTGCTTGACAATATCGAGACACAGGTAAAGTGAAACGAGAGAAAGCATTTGCTTTCCAAAATTACAAAAAGAAAGCTATTATTTCCTTGAGAATTCTGAGTTGTATCTATTACTAGGATACTTGATTATTATACTAATTTCAATCCATTTTGGCATTCATCCCCCTTTTTTAGGTTTCAAATGCTGTAGATCATGTAAACACAGGAAACACAGCACTGCAAAAGGCAAAGAGCTTGCAGAAGAACTCACGTAAATGGATGTGCATTGCAATTATAATCCTTCTTATCATTGTTGCTATTGTCGTACTGGGTGTACTCAAGCCTTGGCAAAGCAAGAACGGTGCTTGACCTCTTCCTTTCGTACATTCTATACATATAACAAGATCATGTGAAATCCTCGTCTCCCCAAAAAACAAAATAGGAAAAAGAAAAGTTGATTTTGTGAGTTTATTCTCCTTGTAACTTCATCAGCTTTTGTGTGAATCAGTAGTTCCAATATCTACAAACCCAGATTTTGCCCTTTGTTTCATGTTGCTCAGACCTATTATGATGCCTACATTCCTTTTATTTTCTCTTCTGAACGCCGTGTGTATGTAATCTTATTCTTTCTGGCATCATCATTTTCATTTATCTTCTGAATGCCTTGGACTAAAGTAATATCAATTTTCTTCTCATCTTAATTTATTTTATGATTTGGACTATGTAATCATTGATCTGAAAGACAGTGACAACTTTGCTTGGGCAAATACAAACCTGAATGGCTGAATATGCTGCTTTTGCAAACAAAACAGCAGTCCAGTCGAGTTATGTTTATATTTTACATGATTTCTTATTGTTCAAATTTTACATTATTCACACTCGGTTAATTTCGTTATGTGGGATTTTGTTAATTTCGTCTTGGTATATACAGAGTAGACAACACTGACCACTTCTTCATAGGAAGTGATCTTTAATTCTATCCTTCAATTCTACAAATACAACTGCTATTTCAAAATGCTACAAGTTCAATTCACCTCTTTTACTTAATTTTAGTTATTATTACAAAGATTATTAACCACAATTTACATCAACTAATTGAAATGACCTTATAGAATATTAAGACATAACTCTTATGGTGCTTCTTCTAAGCCAAAGTTCATACATAACCATATAAAAAGCATCAAAATCAATAGGAGAATTATTCCACTGAAAATGCTTCCTAACTTTCAAAACATTAGCTTGCAAAACTGAGTATCTCTTAGGGCTTATACTTAGTAAAATTTTCTTCAAGTTAGGGATGTCTGAAGATGTAATGACAACGGAAAAACTGTGCCAATTTATAATGTCCATGAAAGGGAGATCATAGTAGTCCGCTAGTATACACATCCATAGTAAAATGCATCCCCTACTCGAGCTGTGTTTACCTCAAATCCCTTAACGTGTAGACAGTATTTGCTTCCTAGGAGTTGTTCTGAGTATGGTGTCTTTAACCTCCCACCACGAACAAAGATGGATGAGTCATTTTCCCATGTTTGCACCACTGCTTTTCGTAGAGGCGAGTTTGCTGTTCCGGCAAAGAAGGCCAGTTTCTTTCTGATGAGTATCAAGAAATGTAAGAAAACTATGTTAGATTTTTTGTAAGGTGTAAACGCAACAACGAACATATGCTATGTTGCAAAATGACTTCAATTTTACATGGTGGTGTAACAAGTTAGTTTACCTTATATTTGTTGGATTATACAAGGCAATGTTGCACCAATGATGTGTGCGTTATGCATACTGATATTTTAAAACGTAACAATTGTAATACGTGTTATTTTATTAGTTGACACGTGTTGACTTTATTATTGTTCACACACTTCCCTTTGATCGTGTTTTGTGATTTATACGTAATAAAAAAATACAGTCATGTGTGATCTTGTTAGATTCGTTAAGATAAATATTTTCAAAAAATCAACTTTTTATAATTTTTGCTTATTGGTAATTAAAGATATTAATGGTTACGTAACTAAAAAAACCTATCAACTTACAAAAACGGAGGAAGTAATTAGTAAGTCTTACCTTTTCGATAGTGAAGCAAGATTTAGAGACTCTTCATGCCTTGGCCAAATTTGTGGGAGGGAAACATCTTTATGAGCAAAATAATTGGTAAGAAAATAACTAGATGAGCAAACAACTTGGATAGCATTACTTTTCACTTGATCAACCTTCTCCATAGCAACCCTACCAATAGAATGGCAAGCAGCATAAAAATGATCAGCACCCCCGGTTCGATTCCAATAAGGGTAATTTTGAATAATGTTGGTCATATAGTTAAGGATAAAATCCGAAAGGCCACCAACTCCGATCTTTCGATCAAGCCTCAAGCTAGCTATGGAAAAGGGTAAGAAGAAGAGGTCTGCTTCCGAGGGATCTTTGGTGACGAAATGGCTCTTGAAGAGTACATTCTTGAAGTATGCTTCACTTGCATAGTTACCACCTGGTTTATAGTGATCATCTGTTGGAAGTAGGGCATGAGCAAAAGGTTCATCTTTTTTGTGAGGATAAATGTAGATTTTTAGGCTTTTTTTCATTTCATTGTAGTTTTGAAAGAAGATTTCTTTGTCATGGTAAACTTCTTCTTCATACTTTGTCTTGTGTGGTTTATTCATAGAGGGTCCTAAAATGAAAACGTAAAAAGGATCAACTTTTAAAAGATGGTTTAAACTAGCAAGAGGCAAAAATACTTAACAAAAGAAACATCAACTAATTAGAATTACAAATACGAGCAATAAATTCTAAATTGTTACTGTATTAAGAATTTGGTCCATAACATGGGCAGTTTCGTCGATTGTCCTTGCAAAAGGACCTACTTCATATCTTAGTGCGTTTGTATATATATATGATATCTCATTACGGCAACTTATTGTGCCTTGCATTGTTAATTTTGTTATATTATCACACAATTCCGAGAGTAAGGGATAGCTCAATCGGTTAAAGCTCTGCTCCCAATTTCAGGTGATTTTGGGATTGATTCTCATCACCCGCCCTTTAGCTCTAATATATATAATTCCTTCTTTTTGCTAATGTTGCACTGTCTACGTATTAGTTTCAAAATATATATAGATATTCATTTTTTTTTTTTGAGGAAAAATATATATATTCATTAAGTTATACTATTTGTGATAAATTTGTACTCGTATAATTGTTGGTTTATACCGTTAAATTCTAACTACTACATATTCTTCATTACATTTATAGAAGATATCATCGTATTGGATACACAAAAATAGAAATTGAAATGGAAACGTACACAAGCATACCACAATCAAATGCTAATTACATCAATAAGTCAATTGAGTAAATCATGTTCTCCAATTCCTTACGTAATATAATAATGATGTTTAATTCGTCTTCTTGTCTATAAATATATTTCAAAATTAAAAACAACCTTTCAAGTCACTTTCATGCATCAACTCAATAAAATGCAATTCTTCAAAGATGACATGTTCAATAATTTTGGAAAATAATTATTTTTCTGTTTTGAGAGTAACATATTTTGATAATTTCTTAAAGGTTTACTTTCCTTTTTTTGCTAGCAATTAATTTCAATTATTCTATCTTGTAGAACTTCGTAGAAAATCCAACAATAACTTGTCAAAACTTTGAGATTGACATAATTGTACTTTTGAAGGAAATTAATTGTAAGATCCATATTTCAATATACCAAATTTATCAATATATGTAGTACTTGTATGTAACAAATCTTGGATTATTATGCCGACAATTAACTTATTGCTAGACATGAAATATTATACTCTCTCCGTTTGAAATATTATACTCTCTCCGTTTCTATTTAATTGTCCTATTCGGAATCTTAATTTAGAGATTCAAATGCTTTTGAAATCTAATCTTTTAATAATAAATATATACTTTAAAATAAGTATGTGGAATCTTGTTTTATTTATCTTGAAATTTGTTTTTCAAATATTGCTTATAATACATGGCTTGATATATTTTTATAATAACAATTTTGCATTAAAAACTATGCAAGAAGTCAATCGGATGAACAAAAATTAGCAGATAGAGTAATAAAAGTAAGCAATCATCTTAAATTAATAATTTAAATTAATAAAATAATTTAATATAAGTTCGTAAAATATCATAACTTTTGACAATATAACCAAAAGTGCTTTATGCTTATGATGGCCCTTGATCAAGATTGACTAAGGTAAAATATCAAGATTATGGGCTAAGTTTTGTGTAAAAGCCACGAAGTCACTCCATTATGAGAGGAAAATATAGTATCTTTTAAGTTAGTTTATCTATTTATTAAACTATATGGTAAAAACAATATTATGTTTGGATTTAGAAGTTATTCTAATACAAGTAACAACTAAAATGTCCTCTAAACAAAGTAACAACTAACAAGTAACATGATATACGTACGAAGTGTATATCTAGAGGCCAAACATTTCAATGGTTGGTGGAAAACGACCTTCCAAATTATATTCTTGTTGTATTATAATATTACTCTTACATAAAACAATTTAGCATCAAATATAAAAAAATTCAATTGGTCCAATAGTAAATTCACTCTAATATGATTCCTTATAGGCCGCCAAGAGATCAAACTATTGATCCCTTCTATATTAATGCCAAATGTCCTTTGATTTATAAAAACAAATCTATTTTATAGGCCATATTATTGCCAAATTGCTAACTATAGTATTTAATTGTTAATTAGTAATGTAAGGCCCGGGGTTCGCCGGGTTATTGCTTTGAATATTAGTATATTACATTGGACAAGTGATGTAGATAAAGTTTGATATATATTACTAGGACTTAACCAACTAAACAAAACTCAAAAAGTAAAATCTAATCTAATATATATATATATATATGTATATGTATATGTATGTATATTACTAGGACTTAACCAACTAAACAAAACTCAAAAAGTAAAATCTAATCTAATATATATATATATATATATATATATATATATATATATATATATATATATATGTATGTATATGTATGTATGTATATTACTAGGACTTAACCAACTAAACACAACTCAAAAAGTAAAATCTAATCTAATTTAATATATATATATATATATATATATATATATATATATATATATATATATATATATATATATATATATATATATATATATAAAGGGGAGTTTTTTCCAAAGATTTCAGAGAGCCACCTAGGATTTTAATTTTTTTTAAAAATTATTAGAGCGCCAAGTAGGATTAGTATTTTTAGAGCGTTACAGTAGGATTATGCCACGTAGGATTATTATTTTAAAGTGTCACATAAGATTAAAATTAAAGGTTTTAATCTATTATAAAAAAATGAAATAATATCTTTTAAAATTGAAAATTTTATAAACAATTTTTTTATTTCGTATAAAAAACTACTATTAAACTTAAAAATGAAATTCACATTTGATTGATATTTACAAAAAAATTGGATTTGATAAAAAAATAATGAAAATATGACAAATGATTATAATAAAATATTTTATAAAAAATACTAATAAAAAAAATAAAATCACATATAATTTTAAAAAAAAAATCAGCTTTCTTTCACAAAAAAATATATCAGTTTTTGATTAGATAAAAAATAAGAAAAAAAAATCATTTAAATTAAAAATATATCCTTTTTCTTTTTCTGGAAAAAAAAAATGTTCATCATTTATCATTTATTCATCGAAAAGATTAAGTTATACGTAAACAAAATTTATCATATCTAACAATAAACTTTATCACCACTTTAAATCTAGTATTTTTT